TGCACCACTTGGTGGTAACTGGCACCCTCCATCAGCGGACTGTGCCGTGACCGGGCACGCTCCCTTGAAAAAAGAAGAGGGTTTGGCGTTGACAGCGGTCGTTGGAAGAGGAGGACGGTGTGAGCAGTCAAAACTTCTTGTTGGATCATATACGCTTCTGACCTTCACGCCCAAACTGACGGGATGACAGAGGGAAGAGGGCTAAGGTTGCTTGCTTTACACCCTACTATCGTACGATATGTCCGCACGTTCATCAACTTCACCAACGTGCGGCCGACCATCAGCCGCCAGGCAATGGGAAATATCGTGCCAAGAAACTCACAAGATAGTTCTTGGATGAAATCACCACCGACGCCCACCGACTCAATCCGGTTCGGTAGGGATGGCATCACACATTCCCGTAGGGCTGTTGTGGCTGGCTGCTTTAGTCAGTCTGGCTGGCTGGTTGGCTTACCTAGCCTTCCCTTTCCATTGGGATGTAAGAAGGGCTAGAGAATCCGCGGGTCCATGAGCGCCTCATCACAGACCGAGAACGCCTCTCCCTTTTCTTTACCTGTCTCTATAGGTATGCTGACAATGGGTATCATGAACTGACAGGAACTGCCCGACTGATGCTTGTCTCGCTGACAACGAGGTTTTCACGAGGCGCTCGCCCAACCGCCGCCTCTCTTCTCTTCGACGCTCTCTGGTTATGTGGTAAGTCAGGTCTCAGATGAGAGACATCTGACGCACACACGCACACGCTACATGCGCAGTCATGGGTCATCATCATTCCTTCCGGTTCATTCATCCTAGAGAAAATTCTCGGGGAGTTGATGACGGAGATGGACACATCAAGCCACACGGGACCAACCAAGAGCCCCGACACAAGGCAAGGGAAAACAGGGCTTGAAGCATCCGGCCCAGTCGCGCGCGGCTGTAGCTGGTATGGCTGGTGGCTTGCTGGGTGGGCACGTACAGACAACCTGAGACAAATAGGCTTCAAAACGGGTGAACAATGTCTCGGTCCCGATATTTGGACCGCGAGGCGACTCAGTTGAGTTTCCGTCTCACCGGCTGCCTGCTTTGTCTGCCTGAGAGGGGTTTTGAGACAGCTGGTAGAACCGTTGACTCTGAGATCCCCGTATCCGTTGGCAACCCGTTGGCCCGGTCAGGTGAGGAATCATCTCGGGCCGAGCCGATTGCCGTTATTCCCCTTTCTTCTCTCCAGTGATCCTCCCCTAGTCATCACGATCACGAGACCTACGTTGATATTGGTAAGTTCGAGGAGCCAGGTAATGTAGCAAGATGCTATACATGAGTACATGGGGTGGAAGGATCACATGTTATTGATTCCATGAGATCGTACCGTCTGTCCATCCATGGAAAAGATCGAACTCGGTACCTTCGGCTGCCGATCGAGTCCACGGTCCGTCGCTCCCATACGGACGTACGGAGCTACAAGGCTTACGAGGCTACCACTGGCCTATCTATACACACGCCTTACGGTACTTTACGTGCTGTGCACGTTCCCGACTGGACTGGAATGTGGGCCAACTTCTTACCTATGTATCCGAAAGAGGATTGCGGCAGCTCAGGACTTTCTCCAGGCGAGATACCGGGGATACCTCTCCGGGTTTTGCCACCGATCGTCCCGTCTATTGACGTTAGATCTTCCCAAGATGATCGGCAAGATCCAACCATAGAAGTTCTTGGAACAGAGCCAAATACACCGGGCCCAAAGAGATCTAACTTTGTTGACTGAATGAAAGGATGGGTGGAAGCTAGGTGGAAGACACGAGCAACTCGCTATATACCTTTCTTATAGGAGGTCAATGAAAGGACTTCAGAAATAATCGTCATGGGCAATATGCGGCAGGCTCGCTCTTACAAACCAACTCTATGAAGCGTAGCCTTTCTACTTCATCGCCGCCGTCAGATCCCTCTCCTTGTCACTTATCAACACATAACTAAGGTAGGTACGCTTTCTCCATACCTCTAAGACTGGATGTTGTCGACTATCTTGTCTTCCAAGCCTCATTCTGTTTAATCTATAATCCCCAGATACAACTGCTCACTCTCATAGGCCCGTTTCTTATTTCTCCCCAACATAATCCGTCTTTGCCCTCATAACTCTTACTTACCGGCGCTCTCACCTTCCACATCTCGTCTCTTCCTCTCATAATCCTTCCGCCAACTGACAGCTCTTCCAGGGAATATCATGTAACATAAGGTAAACGAGGTTGGTAGGTACTTTTTCGTGTAACGGCCGAAAGAGTCAAAAGGACTTCATGTTCCTCCGTATCGGTTTTTTTCTCGGATAGCAGCGTACGTACCTAAGTCCTTTGTCATCATGTGTACTCGTGGAATTTTGGGGTGCTGCATTGTGTGTGTGCGTGTGTGTTTGTTTACCTCTCCATCCACACAAAGAGGTTGCCCCTATGCTAAGTTGGTGTACAACTGCCACCAAATACGTAAAATAATTTTTTTAATTCTTTTTTTCCCCCCAAAAAAACCCCCCTTTCTTTTCATCAAATATATATATATATATATATTTAAACCCGCCTTAATATCCATTGAAAAGTCTTTTCTGCGGCTCGCCTTAGGCAGAGAGATCGTGAATGTTGCCTGGAAGAGTTCCCTAGGTACTCACAAAGCAGGGTATTCAGGCAATCAGGCAATCAGGGGACAGAGAGAACTCGATACCAGTAGGTAGCCGACTGGAACGACTGGAAAGTCTGGAACGGAAGGCTGAGCCGGGAACCGGCGTGTGTGCCAGCATGTTAAAAAGGATCGATCTACCCATCTACGAAAAGCTAGCGCGTAGATATGTATGTACCTAGCCGCCATCCCTGTACCAGTTTGAGGTTTGTTTGCCTTTTTTTCTCTGCCTTGGGGTCCCTTGCTCCTACCGGGGAAGCTTCCTGGTGTCATATTGTGCTTTTTGTGTCTTTCAGCATCTACCCTGAGGTCAGTGTATGACGGGACATTTAATGAGTCTGGAGGGGAACTGTCGTGCGTTAGCAAATTGTGGGAAGACTTCTTGACTTCACGCGATTTCTGAGTTTGGCGATATTATCAGTTGTGTTGTTGTAGTTCTCTTCAACGATGTTGACTTTGGACTAATATGTGTCTGGGTGTTTGCTTCCTAGCCTACCTACATAGATACCTTCTACCCTTAGGAGGAAGAGATTGGTGCTAGCTGTGGGTATGTAGAACAGTCGATGTATCCTGCATTGAAACCCAGAGCCAGAGCCAGTCTCCATCGGGCAGACAATTGTCTCCCGTCCTGACGGTTCGAGTGTGGAATATTAAGAACGTGCCATCTACGACTCTGCATCCATTGCTCAAAGACCGGAGCACAAAATTTGTTCGACCCAAGAGGTAGCTCGTTCTCGCTGAAGCTGAACAGATCAGGCGCAGGAGGTCACTTGTCCTCCTATAGGGTCATGTCTTCGATATTTCAGAAACCGAGCAAGTCCGACTCCGAGAATAGACGGCTGAATGCTGTGGCCATATTGACTTTTTGTTCCAGACTATGGTTGTTGCCTTACAGATGACATTATCAGCGGTTCCTTCTGGTGGCTATAATGCAAGCTTTGTGGAAACTTCTCCTCGGAGGGTTGATGATACTTAATCAATCCTTGAAGAAGGAAAGATTAGATGGTCTCCCTTAAGTTCCAGTTCACAAACTAGACCAGTGCTTCTCCAACAGCGGCAGAGAACTCGTACCCCTGTCTTCGTTTGATCGTGGCTAATGTAGTCGTGAATGCTTGGGGAGGTATCGCTCGTGACGAAGCGTGTACCGGAAGTCACTTTTGCCGCTGGCGCTTCTATCCTGGTCCCATCAGGTAATTAAGTCGTGTTCTTGATCGATAATAATCTTCAATCCTCGATTATTCGCACGCAGATTCGTCTGTTGGGTGTTTATTTTGCAACATTGAGCGAATATTTTCGACCGCGACCGGCGGGGTATAGTTATGGGATGGAAATCTAGCAAGATGGGAGTTAGCATGTATGACATAGTTTGACTAATTGGAGTTTACCCATTGGGACAAATAGAGGATATGGTATCTATTTTGGTTAACGAGGAGGGAAGAAACGACCTGTCGATGGTGGCCGGTAGGGCTTCTTTTGAGCGTTGCAAGGCGAGTAGAGATAGGTCGAAAGCTGCTCGAGAGCCCTTTCCATGATGAAAAACTGGAAACAACAAGGCATCGTCTCTTCCGAGAAAGTAAAGTGTTGATGGTGACGGTTGTTCATGGCATAGAAGATGGGTGGGTAGGTAACTGGGAATCGTGGACCTGGGATGAACCGCCTCTGGGAAGAATTTTACTTGGCAGTAATCTGGGATTGCGAAATCGGGACAAGAAAGACATGCACTCCGGTCACCATAATTCACCCCATTGCGTCTTCCCTAACATCAAGCAATTATTCGACTGCCGGATGCCGAGTTATTCCAGGGGCGAATTTGCTTGGCGATGACCTACGGTGAACGATTGAAGGATGATGCTACTAGGTACCTAGAGGTAGCTACCTGATTGATGTTTGTTTCATCTTCCAACCCAATCACTGTTAGCATCGTCGGATTAACACTATTTGTCCTTCACCGACTAGTTCCCACTGCTACCCAGTATCGATCAATTAATCTGCAATCCAAGGTCATCAATCCAATCCTAACTGTGAGCGCAACGCACTACCAACTCGGCGAATGCGTTTTGTAGCCTCGAGGCTTTTATGGCAACAAACCCGGCTCCATGAAATTTGCCAGTCAGTCTTGGCAGTCCATGTCACAGCCCATGCATCACACCAAATAACAAGCGGCCGGCTGAGGCTCAAGGAGAGGAAGAAACACAGGGTTCTGCGTATATGACCTTGACTGTATGTGCCAAACATTACCTTATTGACGACAACCATCGCAATCCACATTGTCATGGCCGGGGTGATGACAACTATAACCATACGAAAGAATAAATCTATTTGTTCTTCTTGGTCTTCTTCGAAGGGGACTTCTTCTTCTCCTACTCTTCATCGGGACCGTCCTCATAGCGATAACGCTTAGCGGCGGGCTCAGATTGTTTAGTGGCAGCTTTGGCGTCCTGTTGGGGAGAAGCGTGAACATGTCAGTATGAAGAAAGAAAACAAACGGAAACGGTGGATGAGCATACCTGTTCCTAAGTTTTGGCCATGGCTTGGTTACCGGTATGACGGGCTACATCGGCCAACCAACTACAGCTTGCCAGTTGAGGAGTGACTGATCGCGACCAAAAAACCGAAAAGCTGGCAAGCACTTCTGGTTATGGTTTTCAAGGGTGTTCGCAACTTCCTTCCACAAAGAGGTGAGCGCTGCACGAGCTTCCTCGTCCACTGCGGGATCACGGGTCCGCAAAAACTCAATCTCCGGCTCGTTATCGTGAAGTGCGGGTGACAATTTGGCATTCTGGCCACTCTGTTTATCATCGCATTCCCTCCGCGGTCCCAGATCTTTCCATCTCTCGTGAGCATTGTCTTTGTACTTGGCCTCCCAGTACCTCTGCACCTCGCGAGCGTGGCTCGGCGTTTTGGCGCTGAAGCAGACTTTTTCGCCAACTGTGACATCTATGGGCACAAAGTCTTTATTCGCTTCCAGTTTGTGCCCTAGGAACACATCCTTCACCCTCCTAAATGCTTCGTTGGTACGGGGTAATGGCAGTGTTCCGATAGGACCGTCAATGAGCTCCACGAGGAGTGGGTATTCATACGTCTGCCATACCAACTTTAGCGTATCTAAGTCGGGCTGAAGGAGGCGCGCAACCCTTCCGATGTGTTCGTTATCAGGAAGACGTCTCGTATGGAAGGGGATTGTTGCGAAGGCAAAGAAGCTCGACATTTCCTCAAGGATATCGACAACCACAGAGTTTGAAATAGAGAGGTCGCGGCCGCTTTTCGCCAATAAGTTGCCCCAAAAGCGTCGGAAGTGCTTGGGCCGCACAAACAGCCAGTCCCGCAAGAAACAACTGTCTTTACAGACAAAGGGAAGGACTGGGTTCAGGAAGGGTGCCTCCCAGAACATAGGTCGGTGATTGGGAAAATATTAAAAAATGGCATCGAGCCCAGCACGAGAGCCTGTAACGGTGTCAGTGGTGAGGCCCTCAGCGAAGTAGTTATCAAACCCCCATTTGCGGTGGATGGCAGCGTCCCTGTGGACGGCATTGGTTGCACCCCCCGCGAGGTGGACGATACAGTACGCAGCATACGCAGCGTTTATGTCAGAGCCCTCAAACAAGTGAATGACAGAGTCCCTGACGAGGCCGAATACAGTGCCCCCTGGAATGATAATTTCCTAGAAGCCGGCGGGGCCGATGACGGGGCCTGAGATGATGTCAGATATTATGTACCCTCCGGCGAGATTTTTCGGCGTGTTCCTGGAAGGTGGTCTAGAAAGCCCTCTTTGATGTCAAAGACAGCCTCAGGCTGCCCGTCTTCATCGATGTCAGAGACTTGGTCAATATCCAGATTAGAGCTCAGCTTGTTGATTTGCTCGTATGCAGTTCAGTGCCAGTTCCACGTGACCACAAGCTTCGCAGTCGTCGCTTGCTCTCCGCTGGGAAAATCTGTACGCAAGCAAGGTCAGTAGTTGTCAGTTGGGAGGTAGGCAGGATAATGGATGACGAACATAACTCCCTCTGGGATTCCACTGTTCTTCGATTTGTGAAGGATGAAGCGGTTAAATTTCCTTGGAGGCAGGTAAAATTACGACGTTAAGCTGATGATGATGGTGATTCAAGAAGTGTCCCAACTTCTAGCGGGGGGGAGTCTATTATTTGTATGTGTATAGAGGGATTGTCCTGTTAAACTTGTGTCCATCTAGGTACGCAGTTCTCTTGCCATCAGGTGTATGTTGATTCCACTATTTTTTTATTTTTTTTAGTTCTGTTACCGTGAGCAACAGCCCTTCAACTGCCATAATGCCATCTGTCTTTTGCTGATAAGGCGGCGGCAGCTTCACTTTCCACAGAATCATGGAAACTGACCTCTACCGGTAATCTGGTGCTGCATCGTGAATCGGGCATTACCTCAAACTTGTCCATGAAAGGTTCTGTCGAAATTATTTGCTTGAGCAACAGCCGCGACATCTTCATGACAGTATATTGGGAAGCAACATCCAAGACTCACAAACTCCCAACAAAGGTTATCGAAGAAAGTGCGATCAAGGAGAGCTCTGATGTGAGAGATTGATGGTGATAGTTGGCAAGAGGGAGGAAGAGTAAATCATAAAACCTGAAGGACTGCCATATCCTTCATCTAGATACCCAAATGTCGATGACTAAGCTGTGAGGGAAAGACAGTCGAGTCAGAAGTTAAGTACATGAAAATCGAGGCGTACATGCAGGTCGGGCCTGCGGTGTTATGCTGGGGAGCGGATATTTTTTTGGTTCGGGACTTGGTGGGAAGCTGCCTACCTGTCTTATGCATGTCCCAAATTCAAGGATGGAGAGACCCAAGTACCAGCTCCCATTTTGTTGAGCTCTGAGGTCCTTTCACATTCAGTTCCCAATCTTTGTTCAAGGCGCCTTCTATGTTGCGGTTTAACTCACATTCATTTGGGATCTGCTCTCGGAACTTCCGTATTTCCATTTGACCCATGAAAAACTGTAAGCTCGTCGATGCTCAGAGATTTTGGCAATACTACATGTAAGATTCTTCAGACCTGCCAAACATTCCTCCAGGTCCCGTTTCCTGCATGACATGAAAGTCAAATCCCACAAGTCCAACCAGACTGGAAGCAGCACCCCCTCTCGTCTCCTTCCTGCGCGATCTCCTTCCATCCCGTCGCTCGCCCGCCCCGCTACCTCTACCCCGCGCCAAACCTGCCTACCAGCAAACAGCAAGCCAAGGGAAGGGTGCCCATTCGGGTACATAAGCTCCCTTACCTGGCCCTTTTTCCGTGGTTGGCTCGGTGGTGTAAAAGGCAACATACCCTGAAGTGGGATGATCTCTCGTCTGACTGAGGTCCTTGAGGATGATACGGGTTTGAATCCTGAACGGGACAACCACATTTCTTTTTTTGTACCTTCTTTTGCACCTTTTATCCATCTTTCTTTTTGTATCTAGATTGAAACATCGCAGTCCCGTTCGGGCGACAGGAAGATTGCATGTATCTCTTAGGTAATCGTTTCTCTTGGTCGTGCAACACACACACACACACTCCTTGATATCAGCTCCCGTCTTTCCGTCGCTTCGCTCACCAACCGTGGCAACAAATTAGTTTGTTGTTGGACGGGACCCTGTACGGCTTACTAGTCCCGTACGGTAGTCGGCACTAGTATCGCGTGTCCGAATTGGTATCAATCGTTCAGTCCAATGACAAAGACGCGAGATGTTTAATAATCAAGCATCACGAGATCTCTGTGGTGTTGAACAAAACAAGGAGAAAAGTGTCCCAAAAGGGTTGCAAGTAAACAAAACCAGGTTGATGTTGTGTGACCCTCCACAAATCCGTACCCCGTGCTATTACTCCACAATCCCCAAACCCCAGAGTCCGGAACTTTCCCCTCTTCTTTGTGCCGGTCTTGTCAGGGTTGTCTTTGACATGCATCAAGGTTGCATCGGGGTGGTACGTACCTTTTCCCTTGGTCAACCAAAAGTGCCCCCCATTTTCACATGTCAGACATGTCCACCGTTGGGGATGCGACGACGATTGGGTGGCATTCAGGTGAGCATGATCATGACGACAGGCTAATCATATGCAATCCCGACCCCGGGCGCCGACGACGACCCTTGCTAAGACATTGCTGCAAGACAACGAACACATTCTCGAACCTCACCAGCTCACCTCCCCTCACCTCACCTCACTTCTTCCGGTTTCATCGATGCCCAACCGGTTTTGCTTCTCTTCCGCCTTCTTTTGCTTTCCGATAACCTCACATTGACCGCCACGCATCCCGACCAAGGCACTTTTCATCATCACGGCCCGTCCCAACCCCATGGACAGGCGATAGAGTCGTGCGAATTTTTGAAGTGGGCGACTGCCGTTACAAAGCAAGAAAGTTCTTTGTTTACCGCCTTGGATTCAGCCCTCTTCGGGCACGTTGGTGCCAGGCCGCGCAACCCAACATTAGGCACCGTCGGGAACTTCGCACTCCTTAACACCCGTTCACCATGATAGACCACGTTCTCGGGCGACCGTCTGTCAAGTCTCGGAGACTGCAGGTATTGGCCGTCTTGGGCTTTTGGTCAGCCTACCTCTTCAAGTACGTCTCTTCATCTGGAACCCTAGATAGGTAGCTTTGGCAACAGTCATCATCAACAGTTTAACTGACACCATCCCCGTGCCCTGCAGAGGTGACAAACATGGCCCGCCCGGTTTCCGCATCTTCTCCCGCCTACTCTCTCGACGTCTAACGACATGGCAAACCGTCATCTTAACCATGATCTACCTGTACGCGGCCCGCAACTTCAGCACCCTCGTCGGGCTCGCTAGCCCTGAGCCCATGGCCAACATGTACGACGCCACCTACTTCCGGGCCACATGGGTTTTGACCGCGCTGGACGCCGGCTTCTGGACTGCCATGAAGATCAAGCAAAAGTGGCTGCGCGACATCTCCAGCATTGCTTTCTCCGTCTTCTACCTCTTCGCCGCCGAAAAGGCCGACGAGAAAGTCCGCAAGGTTCGCGGTAACCTCACAATCGAGCACCTCCGCGTTAGCTGGAACAAGGGCGTCACGTCGCCGTATCTCCGTTTCATGCAGGATCTGGTGCGACCGCGATTTACAAGGTGGCCGCCTAGGCAGATTAGGATCCCCAGGCCGGCGACGAGCGATTATAAGGATCCGGTTGCGGCTTGGTTGTACTATGATGGTCCGCTGGCGGATCTGGAGCATCATAACAAGATCATTCTGGATATTCCCGGCGGCGGCTTTGTGGCGATGGATCCGAGGTGTAACGACGATAAGTTGTTTTCTTGGGCTGCCAAAACGGGATTGCCCATCTTGAGTCTGGATTACAAGAAGGCGCCCGAGTTCCCTTATCCGTATGCGCTTAACGAGTGTTACGATGTTTACAGCACCATCATCAAGACCAGAGGACGCTGCATCGGCTTGTCTGGACGAGAGGTGCCCAAGATTGTGGTCACGGGTGATAGTGCGGGAGGAACGCTGGCGACTTCTATGACGCTGATGATCGTTGAGAGCGGCTCGTCACCTGTTCGTCGCTTCCAGGGAGAGGTCGATCTCAAGGTTCCCGATGGTCTAATCCTCTTTTATCCAGCGCTGGATATGAACATTGGCAGCTGGATGTCAGACGAGCAGATGACCTTGATCAAGGACCGACGGATGCGAGGTACGAACAAGGGAATCGTCCGGCGCAAAACATCGCAGTACAACGACCTAGTCGGCACCCCTGCCCCCTCAGACGACGAAGACGATGGTCCATCATCATCTGGGTCCAACCCCGAGCCGAGTCCGGTAAAGGAGAAGGAAGCATCGGCAGCGGCTCGCTCAGCACCCGAATATGCCCACTCCAGTCCTTCCACTTGGTCCCACAATGACACTCCTCCCTCCGCCTCCCCCACTGCTTCCAAGTCCGAAGAGTTCAAAACCACCGAAAAGCAAAAGGCTAAATCCTCCGCCGTCACCACCACCACACCCACACCCACACCCACACCCACCGCGCCGCACAACCACCACCCCCAACCCCTCCGCACCCGCCTCGCCATGTCATCCATGATCTCCTACTTCGCCGACCGCGTGCTCACCCCCGAGATGATGCGCGCAATGATCATCCTCTACGTCCGGCCCGCACAACCGACCGATTTTCATCCGACTACCTCCTCTGCCCCATTCTCGCGCCCGACATCTTGCTCGCCAAGTTCCCAAAAACCTATTTCCTGACGGGCGAGCGCGACCCGCTCGTCGACGACACGGTCATCTTCGCCGGCCGGTTGAAGCGGGTGAAAGCCGCGATGGTCGCTTCGGACGGCCAGAGGACGCAGTACAGGGAGGAAGACATCGACGAGGCGCTCAGAAAGACAAATGGCAAGTGGGACGAGAAGCAGGCGGCTGAGGTGAATCTGGTGCCGGGGATTAGTCATGGGTTTTTGCAGTTCCCTGGTGTTTACCCCCCGGCGTGGGGATTGTTTGGGAAGATTGCGGGATGGATGGGGGACGTGTTTGCTGAGGTTGAACGGAAGGAGAGGGAGGAGGAGAGGGTGAGGAGGAAGATGGCTACTATGGGTGTGAAGCACGAGGAAGGGGATGGAGCGGGAGTGGCTGGGAAGGGTGGGAAAGGAGGACATGGAAAGGGTGTTGGCTTCGGAGGTGTCAAAGAGCACGACGCGGAAGAACGAACGGGGCGACGCCAACATCAACGCCGGGGATCGGGAAGTAGTGCTGAGGAGGGCGAGGATCGACCGCTGGAAATGGGCAAGGTCCGGACAAGAGGGAGACCGGCGTTGAAGAAGAGTGAGGGAAGCACCGCAACAGCTAATGCTTCCATGGAAGGCCTCGTAGACAAAGATGCAGACCACCATTTCCATCTCGTCGAGGGCCAAGGACTTGAAGACGAAGAAGCCGGTAGTGATACAGCGACCGAGGCGGCCATTGCGGGGACTGCTGCGACGGCGAATACAAAGGTCAAAGCAAAGAAGCCGCCGAGGAGGATGAAGTCGAGGAGAGTCAAGACGGACGATGAGGATGAGGCGTTGTTGGTCAGGTTGGATAGCTCGGATGATATTTTGAGCAGGAGGATGCAGGGTTTGGCCGGGGGGTTGACGGGGTTGCCGGAGGCCGAGTGAGTGGGCGCAGGTGGTTGGGTGGGGGTTTGGATGATGATGGTTTGTGAGATATAGGTGTGATGACTTTTGGATTTAGATCTGGATGTTGCTTGGAAATGAATGAGCTCCATTGTAATGTGAGGTGTGAATCGCGATGGCTGTGCTGGGTCATGATGTTTCTTGTTGGTGATGGCGCTGATGGGTGCGTTAAGCGTGTTCTGTTACAGTGGGGTTTCAGTGAAAGCTTCCTGTGGCGGCGATGAGGGATTGCCCTACCAAATGAAACAAAATCTCACCTCGGTCACTCGCGCGCTTTGGGCCCTTGAGTGCTTCTCATCATTGTTCCGTCTCCGAATTGCATGTTTTTGCTCTTCATGAGTCGTGGAAAAAGGTTTTGTGATCTTGAAAACATATTTGAGTGAATTACTCGCTAGTGTCCCAGAGGTAATGAAGGTGCGCTGGTTGTGACGGGGACATCAAGACGGCGGGGGAGCTGTCATGTCTCACCTGGTTGCACTAGGGCGCTGTAATTACAGGAGTCACCATCGGACGGGAGTCAACTTGGTCCATATCTCCAATGTTTTTGGTTGAAGAATAAAGGGGATGACAGTAACAAGGTTTAATGGGTTTGAATGAAATTGCGCTTGTATGTATCCTGTTCATACCTCCTTTTTGTGAGTTGGGGATTGAAAATGGGTGTGGAATGTGCGAGTGTCAAGGGGGAGTTTTGCCCTTTCGTTGGCGGCGTTTTCCGAATGAGTGCTTACAAGAGTATCTTGTAGCGAGACTGCATACTTCTAGCTGGCAGGCCGTACAAGTTAAGGGTGCAGCAGTATTTGCAGGGGAGCGGGAGCGAAAGCGACACGCTCGCGAAAGAGCTGGCTCACTTGGCGGACGTTAGGGTGAGTACATCTACCTCTGCTGCTTCCTCCCTATCATATAGCTCCTGACATTCCTTGGTACTGTCAACAGGTGGAAGACATCTTACAGCTACACTGAACATGTTACTGACAAGATACTTATACCAGCATTACGAATATTTGCAGCTACTGTGTGAGTGTTGGCCTTTCGGATGAGCTTGTCGAAGTAGACCCGTTGCGTCTGTGGAGTTTCTGCGCTCCTCTTACGGGAAAGCCTGGTGCATACAAGAAGGGCAAAGTGACTCTGGCTGGTCCAGCTCTGTCTTTAGGTACGTTGAGGCTTTTTGGTTCGATAATCAAGTTTAGTCCACTAACTAACCGATCTCCAGACGACCACCTTTCAGTAAACAAGGAAGGACACATGGAATGCTTTGGTAAAAGCGGAGCTTAATGACACCTCAAGCTTGTTAAATGCAGAAGGTTGAGCACCTGGTGTGCAAATAGACATTTCTGAGTCATTTGGTAGGCATCTCACTGGAGAGCCTCTGGGTCAGAACGGTTAGGTTGGAGTGGGTGGTTGCTTACAATCATTGCATCGGCTGCAAAGACCTGTTGGTTTAGTCTAGTTTAAATTTCTATCATCAACAGAAAACGCGAAAATCTGGCAAATAACCGAGTTTCACTGTCGAATTCGAGTCACGTATTGTGTCTGCACCACTCAGGAAACATCCCAAAAACAACTTCGTTACCTGTCATGCCAGTCTTGAATCCACTATTAGGAAGATATGCCACCGTGCTCAGAGGGTAGCGCAACGAGCGCTGTGCCAAACAGATATCTTCCTATGATATACGACTTAGGTCAGCGGGACCTTCATACACTAGCAGCAATTTGCGTGAATTGGCGGAGTTAACCTACAGAATGTTTTCGCCAGTTGGCTAGTGAGGGCGGGAGCCGGCAGCGTGTTGTCTGGTCCAACGGTGAAGATACAGCGCAGGCGGGGTCCATCCAGCGGCGAAATTTCACAATAGCCTTGCAAGGCAAGAAACATATCAGATGCCTCATGTCACCGGGATATAAAGTGTAAGAAGTCGAGGGGCGGCACTGTAGCGCTCCGGTCTATCTGCCCGCCATAGCAAGTAGAAGAGACGGGATGGGCGATAGAGGAGCCTTTGCTCATCAATGGTCGAGTGTCAAACATGTTGGCGACAATTCAATAATGTCTTTGTTTCGTTTCTGCTATTCTTTGCTTGTAGCGGTTGAGCTGCCTGAAGAGCCGCCTGGTAGTAAAAGAACGGGTAGTCGTCGAGTTGTAGTATGGCCTTCTGATCTGGATCTAACGGAAAAGACAAAGATATTTACTCCGCGGGCTCCAGGCCTTGGCTAGAAGGGCCACAATATGCGGGAAAGGAGTCGATTTCGTAGCGGCAAACAACAACGGCTTTGTCAGAGAGGCCAGCCAAACGGCAGCCGTGCCCGTAAACGGGGAAATTTAACCGCCGCAACGAGCACAATGGCAATTATCCACTTGCTAAGATGGAAAGCAGGCGCTTACTTGACATGGCCCATCAGAACAATGTGTTACCATGTGGCCAAGGAAGAGCGACCAACACTCCAAAGGAAGGGGCCATCAACGCATAGGAAACAGTCACCAACCGCGAATGCTCATTGCTGTGGTTGGTCACGAACGTGGTTGAGTAGTGGAATGTCCTACCCTCAGCGATTGAACCTCCCTCTCTTTTCTCCCCTCTCAACGAACATGTCATCCGCTTGCTTTATCGGGTTGTCAGTCACAGGCCACTTATGAAACACTCGCGCGCGCTAATTCATCATCTGCATCACGGATATGGCCCGTTCTTGCAAGTATATGGCATCCAGTGACGGCACCTGCACCAAGTGTAGTTCTTTTCTGGGTTATTAGTTCCACGTTCCTGCCTCCACTACATTGATCACTGCTCCGAGGGAACGACGCCTTCCCACACAAGAAACACCACAAATCACACGGTGTTACTGACTTTCTCTTTAACTTCACGTGCCTAGGTAGGAGTGGCTGCCCTTGGATACAAGGCCAACTACCTGGTGCAAGCGTGCTCTTGAATCTCTGCTTGACCCGAGAATCCCTTCTGACTGCTTTGACCTTGAAGTCGAATAACTTGCTCTTTTGTCTCCGTTCGTAAGCTCCAGTCTGTTGATGATTTTATGGATGCTTGCCACCTACACTTCATTGGTCTTTGGGGGCTGTCTTTCGAGGCTGAGGAAGGAAGAAAGAGAATTTCGCAGCAATTGTAGGAGAAAACTTCCTTGTCTGAGCTTTAGTTTACGAGTGTGAAGAATATTTCGGGAGGAGTTGGGAGTTCCTGAGGTACAGCTTCAATTGTCCAAACTGTACTAGGATTGTTACCTTTGAGCAGATACATGTCATAGGAGAGCATTCCTTTTCTTTATTCTCGGCAAGGATCTCACCCGCGCGTTTGTTGGTTTGTTAGTCACAGGTCACTTATGAAACACCCGCCCGCGGATTTGACTACAAAGATGACCTGATCCCTTGGGGGTATAAGACTTCCGGTGACATGAACACTTGCCCCAGTTGTCCTGCTTTTCTGCATCATCCATTTTACCTCTACTCAATTTGCCGCTTCGAGGAAACGTCCCTCTCAAAGACCCAAATAAAGAAATACCGCAAACCACTCCCACCACCCAAGACCAGTACAACATTCAAGAATGCATTCCCAACCCATTCTAGCTCTCATCCTCTCCTTCTGCCTAGCTTCCATGGGGTACGTCCCCAAGTCCCTGTCCAACTCTCTGCAATAGAGGGCAGGGGTTCACGACCAGCTGTCCTCCTCGTTTGGAAAACGGGCGGAGTGGAATGACTATGGGAAAACATGCAAGGATTACGATTTCGACGAAAGCACCTGCAAACTCACCGCTCGCTGCCTACCAGAGGGGCAAGGAAGACAACGACAAGAACCGCGTTGGGTCCACGTTCAACATCAACGATTGCCTGGTAACTCTGCTACCTATTCAGACGGAAGGAAAGTGGTAAGGTACCTGACAAGGTCTTTGATTGGAGCTCTGTTCAGCATATAATGGAGAGAAAGCTTAACGAGGAGTGAGTACCTACCTTACCTCTCGTACGTGAATGCATTGAAATGAGCTGCTAGAACTGACACAAACAACCTAGACCCGAAATCTGCAAGGTGAAAAAGAGCTGTAAAATGGACAACGTGAAGGACTTCTACTCGGGCTTGGCGCTGAAATGCGACGGCAATTCGGAGCTGAACTTAGGTACGTTCATTACTCCCCTTATCTCACTCACGTTTGGCTTGATGCTCGGAAAACAGGGGGGACACATCAACACAGCTCGGATGGTCTGTCGACTGATGTCGTCATGGCAATGCACCGTGTTAGTGGGGGTTCACCGTTCGGGATTTGAAATTTTTTTTTTTTTTTTTTTTTTGGTTTTTTTTTTTTTTTTTTTGGTTATGCTAATACATCGTCTCTGTGATAGGTTACGGGGTCAAACGAAATAATGACGGATACCTTGTTTGTGTCTAGAAACACTAAAAGTCAGTATGAAGTTTTGGAGAGCGTGGTGCGGTGGTTTTCAGGAATCTGTATGGAATTTGGAGGAGCAGATGGTCGAAAGATGTGAAAGCAGGACTGAGCACAGGCTACGGTAGAATTTTGATGTTTGAATGTCTGTTGACGAGGAATCCGAATGTTCAACTGGCTCTCTTCACCAGCTCATCCCTGATGAAATTGATGGCACCCATTTGAACATGTTCGTTTCTTTCTCATGACATCAATGGAAGTTTTAATCAGCACCTTACTTACCGTACCTTCTTTGTCTGTTTGTACTTGCCGGTATTCCCTTTCCCGTTCTTGCTAACAGTCCTTACACCCAAGAGGTTGGCTGTTGCTGATGATGAGGACCGGCGAAGGTTCCCGTTCGGTTGCCCGATGGAATGGTAATTCGGGGTAGGACTGGATGTTGCGCCCATCGCGGCTTCTTTTGTACTGGGAACCATAACTCTGCTCGCGTGGAAGGTGAAAGGCTGCTAGGACACCGCCCGACGACCGACCGACCATTTGCCAGTCTAATTGGCAGATATCTTCCGCTTCTTCTCGACGTTGGGTAGAGGCCACCGTGATTCCATACCTACGTGACCGGAGCCTTGCAAGAAAGATCTTTCCCGTTGAACCTTGAGGTTGTCATAAAGGTATCAACACACTTGCCATTCTTGGGCTAGTTCCTTCGCTCCTGTCTTGACCTGGTTCCACGCACTTTCTCTCCATACCAGCAGCCAGTCGCATGGTCTTTCCCTCCTCAACCCCCAAGTACTTCATTGATGGCATGAATCCCACGCCCTCCCCTGGCATTCCAGCCAGAATTCTTCTGTTCCCCAGTTGAATATCACCTTGGTCTTTTCGGCTGGTCACTCGGTCATCTCTCTCTGCGCCGCTATACCTCTCCGTTGAGACTATAGTGATGAGCGGAGAGGATTAGAACCATGAGCGACAGGGTAAATGATACAGTGGAAACGATATTTTCTCTCTCCACTCCGCCATCAAAATCCGTCATTGGGAATCACAAGCTAGCATCGAATAGTCCCTAGTCGCTCTCTAATACGCAATACCACGAGTCCCACAGTCGATACCAATACCGAGGACCTTGATACACAGACACTGGTGATTGTGCTTCAACTCCAAAACATCAAAGACCTCCGAAACGAAAGCAGTCAAGAACAGATCTTGAGACAGCGGCCGCCAACCTATAATGCCAGAAGAAGTTGACGTATTGCCGTCGACCACGTCGTTTCTGATAGATCCTTGAGCGAGAACATGGCCAATACCGGTTCCAGCGCTGCGGCCGCTAGCCGCCCAGATTCAACCACTCCGTGCCCGAGACCCTAGAATCCAGCCATGAGGAAGTGTGTCATATGTACGGGTGTTATGAGGCAACGACCTTTGATTTGCAAATACACACAATTACCCTCGTTTTCTTCTCAAAATTTCATGAAGGATGCGCCCTTCCTGCATAGGTATACAATTGCGGTAAGCACTACCAGTTGAAAATCAACGTGCACGACTAGAGTCCCGACAAGTAAGGCGGACCTGAATGCCAATTGAGTTTCGATAACCAGGACGTCGTTCTTTGTCAGAGCTTGAGCCTTGAGCAAATAAGAATTATTCCTCAATGAACAAAGATGCCATTCTTGCCCTCTCCTGACTCCTCCAAGAAGACCCTGCAAGCTTCTGCAAGAGGCCCGTCGTTCTTTTGCTCGTGAAGATTAGTGCAAAAATCAGGCTAGCCTGCAGAGCATCGTCGGTGGCTTGCACAGCGTTGCATCGATCACACGCCACTAACTTTGCACTAACAGAGCTACCAGGGGCCTACTGCTTAAACTGTTAGTAGCCAGCAGAACGCAGGTTAAAAGATGAATGCAACGTGGAGGTGTGTCTCCGTTTGACATCGATGTGTCTCCGTTTGGTGGCGAGCCTAAACCGCCCTTTGCTTTTTCTCCAATCTCCAATTGCCTTCGTCTCGTGTGTCTGTTACTTTTTCCTGGCCAACCTCTTTCCAATGCCAATGCTTCAGGCACCTTCTTGTTCATCTGTTAGATCTTAACTGTTGGCCCGGCCATTTTGGCGAACCTTGTTCTCAACTACGTCCCAAACTGGACGACAATCGATCATATACGACGGGCCCAGAATTCCCAGGACGTGATTCGAACCTTCATTTGACCCAAGGACCCTTTCTCCTCGATCAAAACTTCAGCCACCGGATTTGCCGTGTTCCTCTTGTATCGGAGTTCTGTTCGCGGCTTGTCACCCTTCCATTCTCAGGTGTGTGATGTCCTATCCTGGCCCTTTGCCGTGGCTCGATTCTGGACATAAAAACACACCCGACGTGTTTGGTGACTTTCCGTTCCGGTGTCAAGCCGTGATCTTAAATGACTCCTCGCTTCTCGTCGCAAACCCCGCGGGATGTTTCCAGCTAATAATGGGGTTAAAGCCTAGCGTCAACCCTTCCTATTGTGGCAGCACCGAGCTCGCCAGCCATGGATCTTGTGGTGGATCTCGAAACGGCCGATCTCGATACTCTCAAGCTCACGATTGAGCTTTATCTACAGGATCTCAATGAGCTCCAATCAGCCACCAATGGGAAAGGGAAACGCCGTGAGGGAGAGACGACGGACCTTGAGGTCGCCATTGACACTTACATGGTGGAGCTTTCCGTCGTCAATCAGCTCATCATCGACCGCACCATGTGCGCCAGTATTGCCAACGCTGTTCGCCAGGACGCAGTCACCATTTCTGAATTTGTCCAGGCTGAGGAGCAGGCAAGGAAAGACCACCAGTTGGCCTTGGACTTGAACAAAACAGAAGATAACGCTTCTCATCCTGAGGCTCGACCTTCAGAGTCTACAGATGCTGTCACTGAACGCCAGGACAATGATTTTCTCGACAAGTTGAGCGCCATATACGTCTTAGAGCCAGTGAAGGACGGCGCAGCTGAGTCCTCTGCATGGGCTGCTGGTCGCCAGCGCACAACAACTCCATGCCCCAACCCCGAGGTTCCGGCCATGAGAGAATGCGTGATATGCAGGGACCAATGTCGCTTCTTTGACGTAGCCACGTTTCCATGTCAGCACGATATGTGCCAAACATGTCTAACCAAGCTCTTTACGGACCTGTTGACAGATCAGACATTGTTCCCCCCCAGATGCTGTCACCAGCCAATCTCTTTGGACAAGTGCCGCTTCCTGTTGGAACCGACGCTGGTAGGAAGGTTTTTGGCGAAAAAGCTCGAGTATGAAACCCCCAAGAAGACGTACTGCTACCGACCGACTTGTTCCCAGTTCATACCGTCGCAGGCTATTAGCAATGATGTCGGCACTTGTGTCAAGTGCCGGGAGAGGACATGCATCGTTTGCAAGGCCCAAGCTCATGTCGGTACGGACTGCCCTGAAGATTTAACAACAAAGGAGGTGCTTCAGATGGCGGAGAAAGAAGGGTGGAGGAGATGCTATTCCTGTAAAAGGATGGTTGAGTTGAACTATGGCTGTAACCATATCAGTGAGTTTACCCCATTGCGTAATATCCTGGTGAAGAGTTTGAACATATGATAGATCTGACCGTGGTTTGTAGGTTGTCCCTGCGGCGCTGAGTTCTGCTATGCATGCGGCGAAATTTGGAAAACATGTCGTTGCGAGTTGTACAGCGAGGAGGGTCTCATGGGTCACGCCAACAGGCACGTCAATCGAGATGCGGGAGGTAGACAGCTTCCAGTGCCGGTGAGGCAGCGGCGAGTAGCGGCAGCGGCGCGACACTTGATTCAGAATCATCAGTGTAACCATGAAGATTGGGGCGTGCTTGTAGGGCTTCACCAGTGCGAGCAATGCCGGGACCATCTGCCAGCCTACCTCAATGAGTGTCGACAATGTAGACTGGCAGTCTGCAACAGATGTCGTATGAATCGGCTATAACCAAGTCTACACCAAGGCGACAGCACCACAAATACCTTTAAAGACAAAAAATTATTAGAGGAACGCACTCTGGTGCTTCACAGCAGTGATGCATCCCTTTTCAGGCGAACGGACTTGGGCAAGAGAGGGGTACAGACCGGTTCCAACCCGTCGTTGCAACCACCTCGGATCGATGGAAATTGTTGCATTCAGCCGCGCGCGCGTTCCGATATGAGCCCATGAGGGGTTGAGATAACAGAGTATTCTGTTGACCGAACTCTCGAATTGCCAGGACAAAAATTTATCGACGGCGAGGTAGCGACTTTTCTTTTCAAGTGCCAGTTAACCTGCACCAGCGATGGATATGAAGTCAAAATACGTAAACAATTAGTGCTATCCCAGACATTGTCAGACCAAATATGCATCGACCTTGTCGCCTCGTCATTGCCCTTCTTTTATTCCTCTTCAATCTTACCTCTGCCTTCTCTCTGCCAAAATGCCCACCCATCCCTCACTGGACCCTCCTCTCCGTCAACGTAACCTACAGCAACGACACAAACACGCCCGGCGTGGTCTCCCTGGAAGTGTTGAGCTCGACTACGAGCGCCGCCGACCTCTTCACCTGCAACTTGCAGTTCAACAGCATCTGTCTGCCCACCGAGACGCGACTGCCGAGCGATAGAGATGTGCTGGTGAGGTTTTACATCAACATCGAGCTGGCACGCATCACCTTCAACAAGACGTGGGATTGCGGTGGTGGTGACGAAGGAGGGGCTGGGTCGCCAGAAACGCCGAGGTATGTCCTGGTTCTGTTGTAGTTGACTTGATACTGGCGCTTAAGCGGCTACGCCCTGGTGACATACGCTGACTCTGAGTGTGAACCACTAGGCCACAGTATGCCATCGGTTTTGCCGAGTTCCATATGGCCTGTCCCGAGGTTATCACGGAGGACATGACTTGCGTTGGACCTTCAGAGGGGGTGATGGAGCTTGATGGGGTCATAGTTGAGGCGCCGCCGCCGTCGCAGGAAGAGGATGAAAGCAGTGGATAGATGGAAGAAATGGGATGATGTATGGAAAAGAAGAATCAGACGAGGTGAGTTGCCTCACTGGATGATTCCCACTCAACTGGAGCTGTTGTGGATAAACCACCTGTGGTTATCTGGAATGACGCCAGAGAAAGCCTGGTGATCGGGATGCCGAGGATGATGTTTAGGTTGAAAGAGAGAAAACCTCAAGCATTCCTGGAAAGAATAGTTTTCGTTGCAGATTCTTCAGACCACTTGGCAGTTCTCGCTTGAGCTGAAACCTTGTCATTTTCCTAACCGGAAATCCGGGCATTGCCCAAAGCCCGAACATTCTCAGCCAACGTTCCATTTCACCTCGAAGTCAAATGCTCCCTTATACCAAGGGCTCGTCCCTAGCTCGGCGTAATAGGGGTAGCAACAGAGATGGAAAACGTGGGGATTCTGGGGTATCGGAGGCAAGGATTCGGGCCGTTTGCAACGCTGTGAAGCCGGTTGCTACCCCGGAAGGAAGGCCCAGAAGAGTAACAGAAGCCGACAAAGCACCGGTACTAGTAACCGAAACAACCTAGACCCAACGGTTTGCATGGCTGCATCCCCACAATCTCCAACGACTGGCACCCTGGATGAGCCTGGGGCCCCGGATTTCTGACTACCCTTTTGGCATAAACACATCTGGCTCTCATGCAAGTCATCTGGGCAACTCTGCCAAGGGTGGTATGGCGGTGCTTGGTATCAAGATCACATGTATTGATGGCCTTGGAATGTTGTACCATGCCGGCCGCTGAAGGGGGTATCGAAAGCGCCCAACGTCATCTTTGATGGCAGTACTTCGGTCGTATTAGCAAGATGGTCGAGAAAAACTCTGCGGGCGACGCATGCATCGTGGAAGGGTCTCTGGATGAAGAGGCGTCGTCGTCCTATTAAAAAGTACTTAAAGAATTAGCCAAACCGCCGAGAATGCATCTTGATTCGGACACTCCGACACACTTCCTCGGCCATCCTCCTTCTAAGCTTCCGGTCTTCGTCTTCAACTCGATAATATGAAGTTCTCCATCGTCTCGGCTGTCCTTGCCTCGGCCGCAACGGTCAATGCCCATGGATATCTGACCATTCCTGCTAGTCGTACCAGACTTGGCGCGGAGGTAAGCAGTTGCCCTGACGATCGTTGGAAGATCGATCGTGCTGATCTGTGTTTCTAGGCCGGCTTGGACACTTGCCCCGAGTGTTCCATTCTGGAGCCCGTGACCGCATGGCCCAACGTTACGGAGGCCAAGGTCGGCAGGAGTGGTCCTTGTGGCTACAACGCCCGTGTCAGCATCGACTACAACCAGCCTGCTACCAACTGGGGTAACGCTCCTGTTGTGACCTACAAGGCTGGCGACACTATCGATGTACAGTGGTGCGTTGACCACAACGGTGACCACGGTGGCATGTTCTCCTACCGTATCTGCCAAGACCAGGCTCTTGTCAACAAGTTCCTCACTCCTGGCTATCTTCCAACCGCTGCGGAGAAGCAGGCTGCTGAGGATTGCTTTGAGAAGGGCACCCTTCCCTGCACGGATGTGAATGGCCAGAACTGCAACTTCAGCCCTGACTGCCAGCAGGGCCAAGCTTGCTGGAGGAACGACTGGTTCAGTAAGTTAGCCTTTACCATACAAAAAGACTTTGACTAATCATGACTTAGCCTGCAACGCCTTCCAAGCCGGCAACCGCCGTGGTTGCCAGGGTGTCGACAATGCTCCTCTCGGATCTTGCTTCACCACCATTGCTGGTGGTTATACTGTCACCAAGAAAATTAAGATCCCCAACTACGTCTCCGGCCACACCCTGCTCTCTTTCCGCTGGAACTCCTTCCAGACTGCTCAGGTTTACCTCTCGTGCGCTGACATTGCCATTGTCGGCAGCGGCGGCGAGACCAACCCCTCCAGCACCAAGACCACCGCCACCGCCACGACTCTTGTCACCAGCAGCAAGACTGCGGGCGCTTCTTGCGTTCCGGTTGCCACCGTTGCTGTGACCTTCAACCACCTTGTCAGCACCAGCTACGGCGAGTCCATCAAGCTTGTTGGTTCCATATCGCAGCTCGGCAGCTGGAGCACCTCATCCGGTGTTGGCCTGTCCGCCTCGCAGTACACTACCAGCAACCCGCTCTGGACCGCCACAGTCAAGCTCCCTGCTGGCACCAAATTTGAGTACAAGTTCGTCAAAGTGTCCAGCAGCGGTGCCGTGACCTGGGAGAGCGACCCCAACAGGTCGTACACTGTTCCCCAGAGCTGCTCTGACTCGGTTACTGCTGCTTCGTCGTGGAAGTAGGCTGTTTGTCAATGGGCTGCAGGAAAATAAACGGATGTAGGATATCGGAGTGTCCGGGTGCAAGTGTGTCGGGTTTGAAGGGAAGAAAAGATATGGATGCTGGGGGACAGTGGTGTTAGCACTACTTCTCTGTCTATAATAGGGATGGAGGAGTTGTATATACATTTTCATATTGAATTGGGGAACGAATTCCATGCGATCAAGCACTTTCGAGGTCCAATGTTCCAATCCTTACCGGAATTGTTCTGTCGAAGCTGTCCAACACTGTGCGTGTCAATGAGATGAGGGTTTAACTCTCAGGGTGACGTCTTCATCAGATATCCGTTAGTGCACTAACTGTCAATCATCAGGCGGATGACGGCCGGACCCGCCTGGATGGCATGCCTGGCACTACGCGTACAGTGTATTGAACGAGGAAATGCCACCGCTATAAAGATCAAGGGAGGAAGAAACAACCTAGGGCGCGCCAGCTTGGAACCTTGCGGGAATCGGAATTGAGTGGTGTCGATTTATTAGTGTTTTTTTGTGATGATGATGGAACTGGAATAGAAGGAAGTGGTACTCTAACGGGAGAAAATTAGTGCGGGCGGGCTGTTGGTATCAACGGAAGTCGCTGGACGATGGCCTGGACGGGTCGCTGGATCATTCTCACGGGGGTTGTGCCTTCCCATGTTACAGCGCACTCGTCACCCTCCTTAGTAATCAGTAATCACCGATCTCCCTTGAAACCTCCTGCCATTCTCTTTCTTCCTCTTTCTTGACAACATCAACCTTCAAACAATTGACAGGTCACACCGATCACAATTGGAGTCAACCTGAGAAATGCTTATACATCAAAATTTCATGTTGAGTGACTACGGAAATATCAGATGCCAGAAAGAACGCACCCTCACCGTTTCCTTCGGCCACGACGACGGAGCCGGTCTTGTTGATGATCTTGGTCATCTTGTTCCTTGCCAGCGGCAGGTCGTCATCCTCGTCTCGAATGTAATACGCCCAATCCGAGTCAGGGTTCGTCTCTGTCTGGCTTTGGCCATTTCCAAGATAGGTGAAGCGATTGCCATCGTACTCAAACCTCCAGTCCTCGAATCTGACCTGCCTGATAGTCTCGAGGTAATGCAACGTCGACCCGGGCCACAACGCCGTGACCTTGTCGTTGGACGAACCGGACTTATACCAAGACTTGCACGGATCCGACCACACAGTCTTGGGCATGAACTGGTCCTTGTGTGCAACGAAATCCCGGACGGCCGCCACGTCGGGCGTAAAGGACCGGATGTTGTGTGTCTGCCAGTGGTCGATCATCTTGACAATGTAGTCCGTCTGCGCCTCGATACCAATCAACAGAGGCCCAGTTCCAACCGGAGAGTTGGGTCCAAGAATCATGAGGTAGTTGGGGAAGTCGGCAGCCGCTATTCCCAGATATGATTCCGGATCCTGTGCCCAGACGTCTTGCAGGTTTTTGTCACCGGCAACAATGGGGAACCGTGGCCGATACGAGGAATCGAACCCAGTGGCACAAATAAGCACGTCAGGAACCTGATGCTCGGTCCCATTGTCGCACTTACACCCTTCTTCGGTAACCTCGGCCACTCCAGAGAACACGACTTGGACGTTTGGCTCCACAAGGGCTTCCAGAAATCCAGCGCCCGGACTGAGTCGACGACAGCCAAGGGCAAAGGTCGGTATCAATTTCTCCTCCAACTCCTTCTTTTCTGCTAGCTTCGCTTTCATGTTGTTGAGCATGTACTCGCGGAGGTTGTTGTTGTCCTCTGAACCCTTGATCATGAAAGGAAGGACACTGCTGTTTCCACGTTCGATGCTTTTGCGATAGGCAAGCAAATGACCAGCCTCCTCTGCAAACCGTCGCCTTTCCTCGTCTGTATACTGACGGCCTTCGAACCCAGGCAACGCTGAGACCCAGGTTGCATTACGCATGAAAACCGTGACTTCCTGGACGAGCGGCTGAATAGCTGGAAGGATTTGGACGCCAGATGATCCGTTACCGATAAGTCCAACACTCTTTCCCTTCAAGTCTACCGTCTCATCCCAATTAGCCGAATGGAGGAGAGTGCCCTTGTACTTGTCCAGTCCTGGAATGTTTGGCCACTTCCACTTGTTGAGGAATCCTCCAGCATTGACGAGTATGTCGCACGTATCATTTGCGGTTTCTCCCGTTGTCAGGTCCTTGATGGAAACGTTCCAGCCCGATCCAGTCCACTTGGCTCCCACCACCTGCTGCTGTGTTTTGATGTACTGCCGAAGGCCATACTTGTCGGCGAAGTCGTTGAAATAGGCGTAGATTTCCTGGCTACTGGCATACACGCCTGACCAGTCTGTTTTGGGCTCGAAGGACCAGGTGTAGTTGTGTGCGGCGACATCACAAGCGCAGCTGCCGCCGTTGTCGTCAGTGAGTGCGTGGAAAGTTACGGAGCAAAGGCTGGTGACATACCCGGGATATTTGTTCTCATACCACGTTCCCGATGCCTCGGGGTTCTTCTCATACACCGTCAAGCTAAAGTCGCTAACATGCTTTTGAAGCTTGTACGCTAGCTGCAGGCCTGAAGCTCCAGCACCGATACAGATGACCTTTACAGGACGCTCTGTGTGGATTGGCTTGTCTAACCGCCATTCAGGCGAAGCGAAGGACTTGAGGACCATCTTGAGTCGAGGAGGGTAAGCGCACAAAGACTGAACACGACACCAGTTCCTAACCTCATCGCAGAGGTTTCAGAGCATTTAAGTAGTTTCCATTCCCGATAACACAAGCTCATCTGATCACTCTTCATTCCTCTCCACTCCACTCTCCTCTCCACATAGTCTCGGGTCGGACCGTGACCATCACGGAGTTCATGCCTGATTCAAAGGCGCGAACGGAGGGGATCACAGAGATTTTTGGCCTTCTTAGCTTTTTAGGTGGTAGTACTACTGCACTCCCTCGTAAGTCATGAAACCCTTGTCCATCGAGATGGACTTCGAGGCCTGAGAGGGTCAGCACTTTGCGTGCGAAGCTGAGGGGGATCTACTTGTAAGTTTCCCAATACGAACGAAAGGGTTGCATGGGATGCTCTCCGCTCAGTAAGTGCTGTACATTTAGCTGCAGATTTCCAAGACTTTACCTTCCTTTGAAGGTGCTAGTGACCGACAGCGGTGGTTACAATGCATACGAATCCGCTGGCCGGTCTAAGAGAAGCGCGTAACTGAATGGTGGAGCATCTTGTAACCGACGTAAAACATGGCGGGCACCATGGACGCTAAGAACCGTGGTGTGTGCTGCATTCAGGAATTTGGTTGAGGCGATTTCGAGATGCAAATGTTCTTGTATGGGTAACCACGAGCTTCTTATCTCACGGTTACACACCCCGCCACGCTGATGGATATATAGGATTTTGCTATAAGCATATGAGTGCGGCCCGCCGTGCATGCCCTCTACTGCCGAGATACCAAGAAGTACCGTCCATCTGGGCAAACGCGGATAAAGTGCTGACATGATGTCTTTCATCTGTTGACAATATATCCTTGGATAATATTGTCCCGCTCGTCAGCGGGGTTGAACTGCCTTGCCTTCATTGTCCGCCATGATGATGACTGATGCAGATAAATGAAGGGGAAGTAGTCTAGGTATTTAGAGAAGAAAAAAAATCACAGCCTCCTTGTACTTAAACCCACCGGAGGTCTGGAAGTGCTTACAGTCCCATCAGTCTCTTGGATTGTCAACCGCATATCTGGTTGACGACACCACAATAACACACATTCCATCTTACCACAACCTCTTTATCATCGGTCGTACCCACCCGAAAGTCAATTGCGTATACCCGGCTCGTGCTTGCCTACACCCGACATCACTCGACAGGCACCACCCACGCGTGCCTTCCCTTTTCCACCTTAATCACGCCCTATTCAATACCATCGGTCGTCCCTGCCTTCAGCCACGCACATACCCAATATGTACCTCCTTCCCAAACCTTCATCCCACCTCCTAGGCGGGGTTCTCGCCTCTCTCTCCCTCTCCCTCTCCCTCGTTATCTTCCACTTCCCCGCTTCCGTTTCCGCCTCGCCGGTCTCCCCAAAACCAATACCAATGACAACCCCAAAGCACCTCAGGGACATTCACGCCAGGCTAGAGGTACCTCTATCATACCCAACAGACCTCTGCTCAACAAACACAACCACCACGACTCCCACAAAAATCCCACACCTCTGGTCCGTCTCAGTACAAAACATAACCTACTCCATCCCAGGTATCTACGACGTCCCCGGCACCGCCACATTCACCGTCACCAACACTTTCACCAACGTTACGGAGAAAATAGCCTGTGGGCTGCGGTTCGATAGTCTCTGTGATGTTTCGTTGAGTACCACGAACACCAAGACGCAAAGCGTCGGAGGGGGAGGTGGAGTGTTGGACGTCAGTTTTCAGGCGCTGATTGAGGTTGCTTACGTTACTGTTGTTGAGAGCGTGAGTTGTGAAGGAAAGAACGGCAGTGTGAGTATGAGTGTGGGTGGGATGGCGGAGGTTTATCTGGGGTGTGATTTTGAGGGGAGTCCCAGGAGGTGTTGGGGGGAGGAAGGGGGGTGGGTTGATGCGGAGGTTTTGGGGGAGGTGCCCGGTGGGGAGACTGGTGGTCGGTAGTGAGGGAATGACGGGCAGGGGGGAGTTGACTGGAGGGACCCAGATGGAGGTGTTGATTGGGGGGTGGACGGGAGGTGTTGTGGGAAATCTTGTGATATGAGGGTAGAAGGAAGATAAAGAGGGCGGAGAAGGGAGGCCATAGTGCTGGCTCGGGGCCGTGATGCTGGTGTTGGCGCACCATTTGTTCGAGGTAGTGTGTGGATAGGATAAGCCACGATGGGACGCGGACTGTGTGGTACGATGAGATGAATGAAGTAAGAAACGATTCCGAATTGTGTATCGAAAACCGAAAACGCCAAAGTGGTATCCTAAAATGCAAAACTTTTCCCGAACCCTGACAAGCAATTTTCCTTTGCAATCCGTTCATTCGCTTCCACTGGTTCCATTGACGTGCTCTTCTGCACCGTCGGCCTCAATCAACTCGCTCCCATTTGGTGGGAAGCGGGAGAAGATCAGGACACTCGCGGCGATCATGGCAAGAATCTGTAGCTAACGTCAGTTCCAGGTCACAGATTTGAGATTCCAAGGGATGAACTCACAGCATTGCAATAAAATGTCAAATGAGGCTTCCCGGCCTCTGCTAACGCAGCAAAGACAAACCCAAAGAAGCCCTGCGTTGCCAACCTGCCAATGTTCTCCACCAGGGTCAACGCATTGAGCGCATCAGCCCTTTGTGAAGGCGAGCACATCTCTGTCATCACACCCTTGGCGGCCGGCGCGGTACCACTGGCAAACGGAAGCATAGCCGCAGCCAGGTAGATATGCCACTTCTTGGTTGCCAACGCAGTGCAACAAGTTAACAACCCATCAGCCACCAAGCTCCAACGGAGGAAAAAGAGATCAAAGTGCGTATCCTCCGTCTCGGTCGGTGGCTGTGTCATCATGGGCTCTTCTTCAGCGTGAGTACCCATCGGAGCCTCCAGTTGCTCGGGTTGGATGAGCAGACCTTGAGTAGCTGGATCCCTTGCATCGGAGATGGACTCGCGGCGCGGCCGGCGTTGGGACTGTCGCTTCGCGTACCATTTCCGACCGTACGAGATAATGCGCGGGAAGAGGACAATCAAGAAGACAGCCCGCATCATGGCAAACTCAGACATAAGCCAGCCATTGTCGCTCTGGTGGAACTCAAAGACAGCCGTGGCATACATCTGGATAAGCATAGCCGCAAAGTCCGTCGCCAGCACACCCAAAAACACACCCGTGCACAAAATCAGCACACCCATGTGCTTAACCGTCTTCCCACTTCCCAGTCTCACCCTCTGCGGCGCCAAGACCTTCAACGGCGCAAAAAAGCCCGCAATCCCCTTCGCTTGCGGCCCGGTTTTCTTGCCGCCGGACATGCTCTCCGGGCTGACGTACGGTAGCGCCAACTGCACATAGACTGTTGAGATCAAAAACGCAACAAACGCCACCTCGAACGGCCTCCGTATTCCCCAGGCATCACCAATCATGCCGCCTGTCAAGTAACCCACCGCCTGGCCGAGCATGAAACACCCCTGCAACATGCCAAAAACCGGAGTCCTTCTCGCTGGCGAAACCACTTCGCCGACAATGATGTTGATGATGAGGATATAACCCACCGGCCCGCCCAAGACGGTGATCAACTGCGTCGCCTGAAAAATTACGATCCCCGACCTGCCGCCGGCCAAGACACCCAGAATTTGCGTCAACACGCGGATGGCGGGTACCAAAACCTGGGCCATGAGCGCCAAGCGAGGACCGATTTTCTTGACCAGCCAGCCGGCGAAAAAGAGGTTGACGGTGCCGCAGATGGTGGTGCTCATTGCCAGGAAAGAGAAGTCGGTGGCGGTTCCGGCGGCGATTTCGTTGCGGCTGCAGCGGTCGCCGGTGCCGGTGTAGGGCGGGTGACGGGTGTAGAAGTCGTCGCATTCCATAAGATAGAAGACGTAGAAGATGGGAACTTGGGTGAAGGAGAAGGAGGTGGTTATTAGGAAGGCGGCGAGGAGGATGCGGGTTTCGACGTGTAGGCGGGTGAGGAGGGTGAGGGGGTTGAGTGTCCATTGTGATTTCTTGTTATTGTTGACATCGTGATGGTTTTCGATGGTGTTGGCGATTTCGCTATCGGTGTTTGGTGATGATGATTGAGAATTGTTAGCGTCAACTGTCCCATTTGGGAGCAGTGGCGTTGTCTCGTCGGCGGCCATTGAGATGCCCGTTTACACCGAGAGAGCGGTCTAGGTAAGTGCTTTCGGTCCCGAAGAGGTGAGATGTTTGCTTTAGGATCAGATTAGGAAAAAGAAGAGATGAGGGGGGTGCAAGGTTTTATCGGATCTGAAGTGAACTGGGATTGCTTGCGCCCTTGCTGCGATCATGACCGAATGCACTACCAAATTTCAATAGTGAATCACAATGATGCCGCCGAAGCCGAGAGGGGATCTCATCGCTAGAGGTAGGCAAGCGCTTATCCGGGTCGGGGATCCGATCACGTCACTCGCACAGTGAAGCCGAGATTGATGTAAGTCCGTCCGGGAGGATCATGACCGAAAGAAACAGTGAGTGGCAAAAATGCACTGGAACAATGTTATCGCGACACAATGGAAGGACGGGAATTGACGCCAAACCGACATCGGAAGGTGTTAAGGGAAGTGTGCCTGTGATAAGAACTTGCAGATGGTCTCACTAACAAGAGTCTTTGTTGATGGTGAGATCAACTTGTTAGTGCATTATCGCTGGGTAATGACACCCGGCACGCCGGTGTGACTGCTGCGGTGCACTGCACCCGGGGTACCCGCTGTTTCGGCGACTCGTCCCCCACCAACAGCGCGTAGTGAGTCGACGCCGTAACACAACGGCCCGGGCGGGCGCCGTGTGGGGGCCTGTGTCCCGTGTAACGTCCTCTCATCCATCAAAACTGACCGACCTTCATCTTTCCTCTTGCAACGAACTTCCATCTCATTTTGACTCTTTTCAACGCCTTTCCCAACGCCCGTCCCGTTCATCCGTATCAATACTTATTAACTTGTCCTCACTGTGCTCGACACGGCTCTCCCGCGTGCATCCGTCAACATGGCGTTCTCGCATCTTCAACCGATTGGAGCAGCCACCGGCTTTGCTTCTCCCGCCGTTAGCTTCGGTATTTGGACGTTGAAAGCTCTCCGTTTGGCTGTTGAGATATGACCGAGCCTCCGAAAAACTCCACTTGACTGTTACTCTGACAATTATCCAGGTGTTTGGATACCAGGAGCTGGAGCTGAGTGGTTACCGGCTATGTGATGATGTGCCAGCCCTTTGTCTTCCCAACGTGCTGGATCTGGGTACTGGACGATCCTAACTCGTTTACCAGACTGACTGAGCCTCCGAGTGACTGCCTGGGTTCTGGAAAGCGAGTGACCCAATGGGGTAATGCAGAAAATGAGGGAGCTGAGGCCCTTGTTCACACCCTTCTTTGACACGACTGCAGTCAACGAGCCCAGTCAAGGAGTCTAGTCGTTTGCTTTCCCGGGATCCCGGGTCACCGACATTAGCGGGACCAGCCTGTATCATCTAACGCATTGGGTGAGGTGTCTCGGTGTGAAGGAGGTCATTACCAAAGACGGACGGCACTTACACTTGTGATACACTAGATATAATATATCACATCTTATGGGCGCCGACTACTTAGTCTCACGGTAGCCCTCTTCTCGGAAACGGTTCTGTTCTGTCATCATCAACCACTTCAAATCAGTCAACATCATGATCGACATCCTCATCATTGGCGCCGGTCCCAGCGGCCTCTGCGCAGCCAAAACCTTCCTTCAACACAACCCAAACAGCAAAATCGTTATTCTCGACAGCCACTCGACCGTGGGAGGAGTCTGGTCCAAGGAGAGACTCTATCCAACCCTCAGAACGAACAACCTGTACCCAACCATGGACTTCAGTGACTTCCCCATGAAAGACGTTGGGATCGGCCGTCCAGGACATCACATCACCGGAGAAGAGATGCATGCCTACCTGACCGCATACGCCCAACACTTCGATCTCATGAAGAAAATCCAATTCAACACTCGCGCTGTTCGAGTCCAACAAGGCCCTACAAACGACGGTTGGAAGGTAGAAATCCAAGGACCAGCCGACCTCATCAGCACAGTCACAATACCAACAACACTACTAGAAACCAAGAAACTCGTCATGGCAACTGGCATCCTCGGCGTGCCCAGCATGCCCTCTCTCAGTGGCAGCTCAACCTTCGACATCCCCCTTCTACACTCCTCCGCCCTCGGCCCTCAGTACCAATCCGTCCTCCAAAACCCCAACATCAACCGCGTCGCCGTCTTGGGGGGTTCCAAGTCCGCCTACGACACCGTCTACCTCGCCGCCACAACGGGTCACAAAGTCGATTGGATCATCCGCAAGTCCGGCCGTGGCCCTTCATGGGTTTTCCCTTCCCACACCAAAATCGGACCCTTCAAAGCGTGGCGCGAGAAACTTGTCAATAGACAGATTTCCACCTTTTTCTCGCCTTGCGTCTTGCCAGACCGATCCGGTAACCAAATCAGTTGGATTCGCGAGTTCTTGCATACCAATAAGATTGGCAAGGCTGTTACGAAGAAGTTCTGGGAGATTATGCACGAGGACACCATTAAAGACTGCCGCTACCGTTCTGACTCCAAGTCGAAAGGAAAGGGCGACGACGAGCGGGGAGACTTTAGTGTCCTAGAACCACCCCACAGTCCCTTCTGGTACGGCACCAGCTCCGGCACGCTCAACTACGAGCAGGACTTTAAGGCCTTGGTGACCAGCGGACAGGTGACTGTCCATCGAGAAGACATTTCCCATATCAGTCCGCATACCATCCACTTCTCCGACAACGCTGGGGCTATTACCGTTGACGCCCTGATCTGCGCAACTGGATACTCAGCTAAACCTCCCATTGATTTCTTCCCGCGTGAGCTACACTTCCAACTCGGTATCCCGACCTCTACCGATTCTCTTACCGAAGAACAAAAGGTTGCTTGGGACGAGTACGATAAGAGGGCAGATGGGATTATAGGAGAGAGATTTCCCCAGTTGGTTTCACCACCCTGGTCCACCACCGATAACAACACAAACCCATCACCGCCATCCACGAAAATAGACACAAAATACACACCCTGGCGTCTCCACCGCGGCATCGCCCCTCCCGGCCTGACTGCTGCCGGTAACAACTCCCTCGTCTTCCTCAGCATGCACAGTTCTGTAACCAACATCCCGCGCATAGAGCTGCAATGTCTCTGGTCTTTATCTTACTTCCACGACAAAGTCACCTTACCCGTACGATCAATCCCCCACAGGGTCGATTGCACCATTTGCGTTCCGGGCCTTGCTCCCAGAATTCCTCCCCGAATTTGCCCAGAAGAGGCAGGGGAAGCAGGGAAATTTGCGTACAAAACCAGCGGGTGCCTCACTTACGACCCGGCTTCAGATCCAGCCTGTACACAAATCTTCCAAGACACGGCGTTATTTCAACGATGGTGTGCGCTTCGATCCCCTCTGGGACATGGAGGACATTATCCTGATTTGAACTTTGATCAGCTGGCTTATTGGGATTGGTTGGTGGGCGATATGGGATTGGATGTTAGGAGGAAGGGTGGACGGTGGTGGAGAGAATTGGTTAGTTCGTATGGGAGTGAGGATTATAGGGGGGTTGGTGGGGGAGTGGATTGAGAAGTACGGGAGGGACTTGAAGGAAGAGAGGAACGGGAATGGGAAGGACGAGGAGGGGAGCGAGAGGAAGGATATGGGGTTGGTGGTTGTGAAGCAAGGCACGGAGATGGTTTGAGGGAGTACAGGAGAGGGTTGGATGAACGAGTTAGTGGTGACACTCGGTCAAAGGGCTATGGTACTGAGAGGGGATGAGAAGCTCAAGTGAGTTGCATGCACGGCGTCTGGATCACGGCAACTTTTGCCGATTTCTTGTTCAAAAAGTTCTATTATTGTATATATATATTAACGGACGTCATTACATAGACAACATCAGTGGCATAATTAAAGACACATCATCAACACACTTTAAAGCTTCTTGCAAAGTCTGGTGTTGAACTCAATCTCCTCCCAATCCTCGGTGCCGGGGGTAGACACGGCATAGAAGACACCCAAGGGATCCCACTTCTTGCGAAGCTGCTTGAGCCTGGGGTAGTTGGAGCCCCAGAAGTGGCTCTGCCAGTTAGGCTGGAAGGGGTCGGCCTGTTTTTGTCTTGTTAGTCAACTAATTCCTGTATCAAGGCCACAAAGATCAAGAGAACTCACCTCATTAACATAAGTAGCGCCACTCATCGACACATTCCTAAAGCCCTCATCCATGTTGTTCGTCAAAACATTCTGCAAATCGTCCCTGACCGCCAAGCTGGGGTTCTCCGGCGAGGGCAAGACAACAATCACAAAGTCTGTCGCGTTCCTCCACGCCGGGTGAGCAGCTGACGTTGAGACAGGAACGTTATGGCCGGGGTTGAACAGATGACCAATCATGCCACCAAACAAATCCGGTCTTCCAGCAGGGCTGACCACGTTCCTCATGGCGGCGATGATATCGTCATTGCGGTTGGCAACATCATCGTGGTTGAACATCCACCCGCCCGTCAATGCCGTCTGACCAGCTTGCTCGGCCTCGAACAAGTCGATGTAGAGATCATAGAAGGTGGGGTACTGGTTGATATTGAACTCGTGCGGGATGCCGGCAGCAGCGAACTCATCAAGCATGGGCTTAACGATTGCCTGGAGCTCGGCTTGGGTCTTGCCGATGGCCACAAAGGGGCGCACGCGGAACTGGTAGGGGAAGATCTCGAAGTAGACGTACAACCCGTTATCGACAAAGTGGTTAGAGTACTTGTGGAAGATCTTGGTTCCTGTCCAAATGACCTCGTTGTCATAGGTGTGGGTGGTGTTCAAGTAAAGGGTGGCTCCCGTTGCGGGCAAGTCGGGGAAGGTCTTGACGGTGGTGGAGAGAATGACAGCATAAGAAGCCGGGCCGCCTCCGCGAAGAGCGAAGAAGAGGTCAGGGTTCTGCCACTCGTTGGCGTTGACGATCAGGCCTGAGGAGGTGATCACCTCAAAGTTGAGGACGTTGTCGACGGCGAGACCCTTGAGAGTGGACCAGGGACCGTGGCCGCCGCCTTGGATGAAACCGCCGGAAAGACCAACGGTGGCGCATTCACCGGTCACGAGGGCCATGGGAGGCTTCAGAGCGTGACCGGCCTTGAGGATCTCGCCAGCTTGAACGCCGGCGCCCATGGTCACAGCAGGACCGCGGTAGGAGCCGGGACCGATGTACCTGTCGGTCCATTTGAGGGACTTGAAGCTGTGGGTGTTGATGATCAAAGAGCCGTAGCCGACGGAGCGGCCGAGGAAGTCGTGGCCTGTATTGCGGACGATCAGGCGGAGGTTGTTCTGACGGGCAAAGTTGACACCGGCTTGAATGTGGGAGGCCTTGGTGGCCATGATCACGTAGACACCATAGCTGCCGAGGGTGCAGGGGTCGGAGGGGTTGGAGGTGGGACGGCAAGTGTCGTTGGTGAAGTAGGTCCAAAGACCGTCAGCGGGCTTTTCGACACTGTCGATTTTTGTCAGTTTGGGTATGAATTTGGGGGGTGGGATATGAAAGAGAGTAACATACGTCCACTGCTCGTTGTAGGAGAGAAAGTTCTCCTTGGCTTCAGCGCACTTGGCCTCATCGTAGGTCTGGATGGTACCAAAGGGACCGTCAAAGGTGTTGTGGCAGACAGCACCGGCAGGGACGTTGACACGAAGAGTGCCGTCAACCGTCCTGTTCAGGTTGTTCCACTTGTAGGCAGAGGGCCAGCATGGACGGCCAGGATAGCATTTGCATCCATACTTCTGGCCGTTGTAGGTGGTTGTGTCGAGTCTTGCGGCATCAATCCAATCCAGGATGGTGTCGAGGATGACTCCCTTGGTCGAAACGATCTGGGCTGTTTGGGTTTCAACAATGTCTTCTTGCCCAAGCACCTGAGAAGTGAGAAGGGCAAGCACGGTGGCTGTTGCCCTGAAGGAGGATTGCCACATCATGATGGCTTGCTGAAAGGCAAGGAAGAAAGGAAGGACGGGAGGAAGAGGGGGCGTGCCGTCTCGGTCCCAATCTTTCCTGGGAAGGAGGGACATGGTCTGGGTTTATATCCATCCTGCTTTCCCCCTCGAATTGGTCATTCTCCAGTTCAAGTCCAACCCAAGAGGTGCCACACTCCGGATTCCGCATTCCAGCCCCATCCGACTTGCCCGCTAACACTCGCCATTCTCCGCTTCCAAGACCACAAGGGCTGACAGCCTGAAGATGGTTGCAGCTATTTTCTCCATGCTCTCCCTATTTCCTCCAGCTCGCCAAGCCTCGGTACCTACATGTTCGGAAAGGATTCCCGTCCCGGCGGGCGTGGCGTGCCAATCGCGACGAGGCCAGCTTACCTTTGGGTTCTCGATGAGGTTTAGACGATGCATTAACTCGAACGTGGTTTGCGTCGGCGGATGTAACTGCAACCAGCTGCAGTCTGCTGCAATGCGACCCTGTCGTTTCGCCGTAGCGACTCCTCTAATATGGGGCACCTGAAGGTCTTGAAGTCCAAAAGGGTTCTAGAAAAAGGGCCTGAGCGCTCTCGCCAGTGTTCGCTTAACTCGGAACTCGGTCAACTGCCCGGATCGGCACCATGAAGCAATTTGATTGAAGCCGCTTTTGAGGGGGAGGGGGGCCGGCCGGGGGGGGGGGGGGGGGG